AACCTCCACCTCCCAGGTTCAAACGATTCTCCTGCCTCAACCTCAGGAGTAGCTGGGATTACAGGTGTGTACCACTAAGCCCAGCTTGTTTTTATAGTTTTAGTATAGATAGGGTTTTGCCATATTGGCCAGGCTGGTCTTGAACTCCTGACCTCAGGTGATCTGTCTGCTTTGGTCTCCCAAAGTGCTGGGATTACAGGCATGAGCCACTGCACCTGGCCCTGAGTTTTAAGTTCTTACCTGCTTAATTGTCCTTGCTAGAAACTCCAGTACAATGCTGAATAGAAGTGGTGAGCTTGGAGATCATTTTCTTGTTCCATAATTTAGGATAAGAGCTTTCAGTCTTTCATCATTATGTATGATGTTAGCTGTGGGTCTTCATAGATGTCCTTTCTCAGGTTGAAGAAGTTCCTGTTTACTTCTAGTCTGTTCACTGCTTTTATCACGAAAGGCTGTTGGAGTTTGTCAAATGCTTTGTGTCTATGGAAATCATTATATATTTATTTTTTGTGAATTATCCCATTAACAGACTGGATTTACTGATTTTCATGTTAAAACAACCTTGCGTTCCTGGGATAAATCCCACTTGATCACGGTGTATAATTCTTTTTACATCTTGCTGAATTTCATTTGCTAGTACTTTTTTTTTTTTTGCCTCTATATTCAAAAGGGATATTGGTATTGTTTTTCTTTCCTAGTAATGTCTTCGTCTGGTTATGGTATCCATGTCTTCTTTATGCATGTGTGCCTATGTATGTAACCCTAGGGACTCTAAAACGCAGGGCTCAGGGCACGAACCTCTCTTGCTCAGCTCTAACCCTTCTGGTCACCTCTTTGTGACTTTTTCCCCCTTTAAGTCTGCCATTGAAGGACATTATATCCTAATTACACCTGAATAGAAGGGAGAACTTTGGGTCATATGCTACAGACAGTTCTCAAGACTAATAATTTACATTTATTGAATACTTTCTATGTACTCAGGCATTGTTCTAACCCCTTTGCATGTGTTAACTCAATCTTCCCAACTAAGGAAACTTTCATTTGGAAAGGTTCAGTGATTTGTTCAGTGGTAACACACTGGAGCATGACTACATTTTAATTAGGGCAAAATTTTTCATTTGGCCAAGAACAAAATCTAATATCACTGATACTTTGTGAATAGTAATTTGAAAATTAAAAAAAAATTTTTTTTAAAGAAAAGCTTTGTTCTTCAAGTGTGATTGTTATTATTCTTGGGCCAAAATGTTTTTCAAGATACATATTTCTACTCTTAAAAAAAAAAAATATTTTATTAGAGTCGGGGTCTCACTATGTTGCCCAGGCTGGTCCTGAACTATTAGACTCAAGTGATCTGCCCACCTCAGCCTCCCAAAGTGCTGGGATTACAGTTGTAAGCCACCATGCCAGGCCACATTTCTACATTCTTAATGAAGTCTGTGGAATCTACTTCAAATGCAATTTTAATTTATGTTTCAATTCTATGAAGATATAGGGTTGGTGCAAAACTAATTGCGGTTTTGGACCGTGAATTTTAAATCATTATAACTAGGCTCAACACATTTTTATTAATCAAAATAGGAACCATTACAATCAACACATTTTTGCCAACGAGAAATAAGTTGGTTTATTCCTGTAGCGTAAAAATCCGTGCTTCGGGATTTGACAAACTCTTGGAAAGCATTTTCTGCATCTTGCTGGTTGTGGAAGCGTTTTCCCTGCAAAAAGTTGTTGAGATGCTTGAAGATGTGGTAGTTGGTTGGCAAGAGGTCAGGTGAATATGGTGGATGAGGCAAAACTTCATAGCCCAATTCATTCAACTTTTGAAGTGTGGGTTGTGCAACATGCGGTCGGGCATTGTCGTGGAGAAGAATTGGGCCCTTTCTGTTGACCAATGCCAGCTGCAGGTGTTGCAGTTTTTGGTGCATCTCATCGATTTCCTGAGCATACTTCTCAGATGTAATGGTTTCACCGGGATTCAGAAAGCTGTAGTGGATCACACCAGCAGCAGACCACCAAATAGTGACCATGATCTTTTTTGGGTGCAAGATTGGCTTTGAGAAGTGCTTTGGAGCTGCTTCTTGATCCAACCACTGAGCTGATCGTCGCCGGTTGTCATATAAAATCCACTTTTCATCGCACGTCACAATCCGATCGAGAAATGGTTCGTTGTGGTTGCGTAGAATAAGAGAAGATGACACTTCAAAACGACGATTTTTTTGATTTTCAGTCAGCTCATGAGGCACCCACTTATCGAGCTTTTTCACCTTTCCAATTTGCTTCAAATGCCGAACGACTGTAGAATGGTTGACATTAAGTTCTTCAGCAACTTCTCTTGTAGTTGTAAGAGGATCAGCTTCGATGATTGCTCTCAGTTGGTCGTTGTCAACTTCTGATGGCCGGCCACTACGCTCCTCATCTTCAAGGCTCTCATCTCCTTTGCAAAACTTCTTGAACCACCACTGCACTGTACGTTCGTTAGCAGTTCCTGGGCCAAATGCGTTGTTGATGTTGCGAGTTGTCTCTGCTGCTTTACGACCCATTTTGAACTCGAATAAAAAAATTGCTCGAATTTGCTTTTTGTCTAACATCATTTTCATAGTCTAAAATAAACATAAACAGCAAGTAAGATGTCATTAGCAAAAAAACACAAAGAAATGCTCATTAAAATGATGTATAATATGACATTTATTTAAGAATGTATTCCAATATTAAATGCCAAATTCCAACAATGCAAAAACTGTTACTACTTTTTTTTTTGGAGACAGAGTCTCGCTCTGTCACCCAAGCTGGAGTGCAGTGGTACAATCTTGGCTCACTGCAATCTCTGCCTCCTGGGCTCAAGTGATTCTCGTGCCTCAGCCTCCCGAGCAGCTGGGACTACAGACATGTGCCACCACATCTAGCTAATTTTTGTATTTTTAGTAGAGATGAGGTTTTAGCATGTTGGCCAGGCTGGTCTCAAACTCCTGACCTCAAGTGTTCTGCCTGCCTAGGCCTCCCAAAGTGCTGGGATTACAGATGTGAGCCACTGCACCCAGCCCCATCTTTTAAAATTTGAATCTTATAATTATAAAAATGTTACTTTATCATGGGAAAATAGGCAAGTGGAAGTATATTTTTAAATGTTTTCTCTCAAAAGAAGTGTCAACATTCTTAAGAATATGGCACTGAAGCAAACAAATGCAGTTAACTTGCTGCTTAGAAAAGACTTGGAATAAAGACTCTTTGACTCTTACCTTAGGAATCGGGTTTCTAGGACTAAGTGCTATATAATAAACTAGTGCCTGAGTACAAAAAATTTTCAGGGGTCCACATTCAGTCAGTTGTCTCTGGCAGAGGCACTGAGTTGGAGGGGGCTGTTTGTGTCCTTGTCTCTGAATGGAAGATTGTCCTCTGGGAATATCTCTGCTGTTCAATAGAGAAAGGCAAAAGGACATAGAAAAGGGTATCTGCAGAATCAAATGGTGAGCCAATCATTTTCCTTCTGACCATTTCTGTATTGCTTCTGAAGCAGCTCAGTTATTAGGTGAGCTTGTGAGTGAGAAAAAGCACATTTTCGAGTGAGGGATACAAACTGCCTTATAAAAAGCAGGACTGCTTCAGAGACATTGAACTAACAGAGGAAAGTTGGCATGGAGAAATGATTAATTTGGAGGAAAATTTTTGATACTATGTATTTGTAATTTGGGGCATTTTATGTGTACTCTAGGACCATTTGTTCACAGAGAACCATTCCATATAACGTTATATGAACACGTAAACCCTAAGATACTTAAAAACAACCCAGCTTTATTGAGATAAAATTCACATGCTATACATTTCACTCATTTAAAGTGTACAATGTACTTATATTACAGAGGAATAGTGTTATATATAACACGGATTCCTATAATGTTGAAACTGCAAGGCCTCCTAGTGGTAGGGTTTAAATGTACTAGAGAAGAAATTAAATTACTTAATATCATAGGGGCTCTAGTAATTATTTTAGCTTTCAAAATGTCTGATAAACTTACATAGTAATTTTTTTGGCAACATCCCTGCTTTAAGGAAGGTAGTTAGAGATGTTTGATGCTCTAGAAGTTTAAATGGGATTATAAAACTCCCATCTCCTTCTGTGGTGTGGACAGCATTATTTTTCTGTTATTTATACAAGAAGTGAGGCTGTTTGAAGTTTTGAAGCATAACTTCACAAGATTTGGAGTACAGCCAAGTATATAATGAAACATTTACAATGTGTTTCCTTTTCTGACTTTTGGTTACAACATGTAAGTCATTTTCATGGTTATATTTTTCACTACTGGTGGTACTTATTAGGGTTTTAGCAGGTGATGGTTAATAATGCGTTTTTCCTTGATTCATGCTTAGAAACAATTAAGTAGGATACAGGAGTCAGACAGAAATCAAAATGTCAGCTTTATTACTGTTAAAATTGGTTGGAAAGCAGGGTTTAGGTATGCAGCCACAAGGGTTTCTTGGATTATTATTAGGTTTGATGTTAGTGCTAGAAAACTTACAATAACAGTGGCTTAAACAAGGGAGACACCATTTCTCACCTGAAAGTACAATGGTGTCAGACCATGACTGGCAGGATGTTCTACAGTACCAGACACCTAGACTCCTTTTAATCTTGTTGATTTTTCTATGCAATGGCTTCCTTTCCCAGGGTCATCCTGGGGTCTAGGATGACTGCTCCAGTTCCAGTCATCATGTATACATTCCAGCCAGAAGGAAGAAAGAGGAGGTGAAGGGCAGGATATCTCCATTTAAGGACTTGTCATTTTTGCTTATATCCCATTAACTAAAACAGTTACTAAGACAAATCTAACTAGGAAAGTGAATATTCTGGGTAGTCATGTACTCATGTTAAATGGAGAATTCTATTACAGAAAGGGAGAAAAGATACTGATGGACAACTTGTAGTCTCTGCCACATTCCTGAGTTCAACTTACATAACTAGGCAGAGGCAAAGCTAGCCAACCACTGTCTTCCACTAGAGGGAGGCGCAAGCTGCTTATCACTGAACAGACTCACCTCAAGGGTCAATCGCTTGCAGGAGGGGAACACAGAAGGGGCTGAGCCACACATGCTGGGTTCCTTCTCATTTCCACAACTGATGTTCGACTTTTCTAAGGGGCAGTACAGAGAACCGTCAAAAGGCAGGAAAGCAGTACATGATTTGGCACCACAGTAACAAGGTTTTCTTAGTTTCCCATTATCTAGCCTTTCTTTGTCTTCACTGCCTGTTAGATTAAGATATCTTCCTGAATAATCATAAGAGAGTTCTTCTTCTGGCACAATATCTTTGGCTGCAAAAAGTGCCAACTTAGGTACCATTGAGTCAATTCGGACAGGAATCATCAAAAGGTTTGGCTCACAAGAATGATTAAGGAATCTTCCAATATTTCCTATATAAGTAGGGTCAACAAATGTTTCCATTACCTGCCCAGTATAAACATGTTCCCTGATGGCTATAATGTAGTTAGAGTCAGATTTTGTTTGTAAGTGAATTCTTCTCTGAACCTCAGAGAATCCTAAAACCTCACCAGCATATTCACAGACAAACCTTCCTTTTGGTATAAATTCCAAGGTACGAAGTCCCCAGCCTTTTTTATGCGTCTTGAACACTTGGAAGTGGAACTGCAGACCTTTCTGGACCACTCTGTTTCTGCAGTGGTCACTGCATCGGCACAGGACATTGCATTCAAAAACAGGCTCTGCATACTTTCCTCCAGATCCTATATCTCTAAGGCATGAGTTATCATCATAGTTCTCTCTATGGCGGAGACAGGAGCAAGTGCCAGGGAGGCAGGGAGTTTTGACACAAATGCATCCGGGAAAGGTTATTTGAGTGGGATCAATGTCTGCTCCAGGTCCAACTACATGATCAGGAGTGTACTGTAAAAAATATACACACTGTAAGTGAGCATGGCATGTCATATATTTCCTATATATTCCAAGTAGTTTTTGACTGGGACCCATTCTAATTCTAACATATATAAAAACAGTTCAAAACTGACAAAACACAGTGTACTAAGATATTGTCCAAAAAGATCTTTCTTCAACAAAACAAGACTTTTTTTTTTTTTTTTTGAGACAGGGTCTTGCTCTGTTGCACAGGCTGGAGTGCAGTGTTGTGATCACAGTTCACTGTAACCTGGGCTCAAGTGATTCTCCTGCCTCAGCTTCCTTACTTGCTACAGCTACAAGTGGGAACAACCATGCCCAGCTAAGATTAATTTTTAGAATTTGTGGTTTTATTTTAGGTTATGTATAAGGATGAGTTGGGCATTATAATACTTAATGTATATAATAGTATGTTATATATAGGTACGCATAATGACATATACATGTATTTATATATGTATTATGTATGTATAAGGACAATAAGAAAAACAGTATTTTTTTTCTCTTATCAGAAACGGAAAGTTTTGTAACTTATTTTGTTTCACTCTTAGCTTTGGATGTCAGAAAACTCAGTGCTGAATTTAGTGTCTGAGTACAGTTAAGCATTTTATCCTTAGCTTTTGATCTCTTTTACCTTTACCTTATATACATGCATATATGTATTTTAATTGTGAGTTACCTCAGATACTAGTTGGGGATGAGAAAGTCATAAATGACAAGTCAATTGCACACAGAATTCCAAAAATGCTATTTCTTAAATAGCTATTACTATTTAAATTTATTATAGATGTACACTTGTAAAGAAATTCTGTTCTAATTAAATGGGAAACGAATATGAAAAATTACATTTATATAAAATATATAAAATATAAAAACATTACATTTATAAAATGTTATATAAAAAGAAGACAATCCTCAATCTAAACTCTATGTGAAGCCTGATCTCTGGTTAGATCCTCATTAGCATCGTGAAGCATATTTTCAAACTGTGATTTCATATTAAAGTATCTCTCATGAACCCAGATTTTTTTTATGTATACAGTAATTCTTGCTTACATAAAACCGAATCCATTTTATACCTGCTTTATTCCAAAAAGGATTTAATGAGACTCACAAACAGGTAAGATAAATGAACAAGTAAGGATAGTAAGGTGAAAGGGAAATAGAGCAAACAGGTCCAGTGAGCTTAGACACACAGTGTGTGGTAGAAGTAGACTGGACATTTGGCTCTGCCTGAGAGCTGCCAATTCAGAGAAGGATATATGATTAGATACGCAGTTTGCCCTGCCTGTAAGGAATAATCTCATTGTTCAGAAGCGGCACTGACTTTTTTCAGTATTGATACCAGGAAGGAATTCCACCAATGTGTTCTTCTAAACCATTCTTTTCCAGGAAGCAGTTTCATGGGCTTTTAAAATTCTGGTCCTCAATAAAGGCTGCTGGGATCCCACAACAGCAGAGTCGGGTAAGAGCAGTTCTGCAAGGAACGAGTTGCATGGCCTTTCATTGGGGACAGATTTTAAAGCACCTGGAGGAACGTTTGCACCATGTCTTCCAGTCAATCCTCCATTAATATTTTGTCTCCAGTCCAAGCTTTAGAAAGGTATTGAACAGCAGGTAGTTATACTCCTTGTGGAGGCCTCAGGTGGAGCTATGTAGTTAAGTGCAAAACCCTATGCTAAAAAAAACTCTGAGCTGGGGAGGATTGACATCCTCTTGTGAAAGATGAGGAGGACAACCAGTGGGAGGAATTGTGGGGGAAGGCCAACATTCTGCTTAAAAAGTCATTTGGGGGTGGAGAGAGGAAATAGCTTTTGTTTGTGTTGTTTCTTGCAGCTTTAGCTTAGCAGGAATATCCTAAATGGATAAAGGATGGGTTAGAAAATGATGCTCTATCAGTCAAACTCAATGACTGCTGTTTTATATAGAATCTACCTTCAGCTTTTTAAAGGTTCAGTGTTGAAATGTAAATGGTTACTCAGACATTTTAAAAAGTACTTGTAAAATGAAGATCTCTGTTAAACTTTTCATGTTAAACTTGATTTGTCATTAAAGGCGCACATAGTTTTAAGGTAGATATAAATCACTAAACGCTAAAGTTTTTTTTTTTGACATGGATAACTTCTTTTAAAATCAAGTCTGACTTACTGCAGTTTTCTAATCAGGAAAGCAGGTGAAAACAGTTTTATTTAGTTATTTTTACTTACAAATTTAAAAAGATTTTGGAGAATCTCATGATATATTTTTTAAAATTCTGCAATTAAACTTGCTGCACAATCTATAATCCTCTAGGGACTTATAGATGGTAGCTAATTCCAAATGAACTGCAGATACCTTCCAAAAGGTAACAGAGACTTCTGGGAAAATTCCTGTTTAAACAAATTTTTTCCCCTTGATGGATATAATCACTGATCCTGATACCAATAATTGCTTTGAGCCATTTTATCTTCATGTTTCCATTTTCTCCTCCATAAAAGGTCAATAAAATATCATTTCAGATGATAATGACTTAAAAAATGACTATACTCAAGAATAATCTTTTGAAAACCTTAGTCTAATTTAATATCTGATTATGTAATTACCCATCTTTAAAGGTATTTACATATTGAAAAGCTATTTATTATTTTCAGAAATAATGTTAGGTCATTGTCCTAACATTCTATTCAAATATTTACATGCCATGTGGTTAAACTTTGAGTAGTCATGTGCTGCGTAATGACTTTTCAGTCAGACTACATATATCTATATACAATGGTAGTCCTGTAAGATTAGAATACAGTATTTTTACTGTATGTTTTCTATGTTTAGATACACAAACACCACTGCATTACAAGTATCTACAGTACTCAGTGTAGTAACATTCTGTGCAGGTTTGTAGCCTAGGAGTGATAGGGTATTATCATACAGCCTAAGTGTGTAGTAGGCTATACCATCTAGGTTTGTGTAAGTACTGTGCACTCTATAACATTTGCATAATGATGAAATTGTCTAATGATGCATTTCTGAGCTGTTTCCCCATAGTTAAATAATAGTTGTTTCTGGAGTATAACTGTATCTGAAAGCTAATGTAAAGTAAGTTACAAACTGGGAGTCAGCTGATATGACCTAAGCCAGACTTCTGCTGAAACAATTAGGGAAGAGGCATTCTCTTTCCACTAGAATTGTTCAACTGTAGTGTTTGCCTGGCATTTCCAAGTTCTGCCACATAGATGAGGCCTACTGAGTGGGTAGCCTACCACAGAAATGGGGAGCAGGGGTGTGAAGGGGGAGGGTGGTGGGAAGAAGTATCTGACAATACTTTTAGAATTATTGGGTCCAGACATGCCTATAGTTACCACTTTTGGACTTTTCTGATTTGAGGCAATTCCTTCCCTTTTTTGTTGGAGCCAGTTTGTATTGTTTATGTTTCTTGCAAACAAATGAGTCCTGACTGATACACCCTGGGTAGAAGCTGAGGATGGTTTCAGGAAATGGTTAGAAAATGTACTCTGTTAACCAAAAATAAAATTCTAAGTCTCCTGATCATCTGAACAGACCCCTCCTCTCAGCAAGAGCATTCCAAAGCTAACCTGAAAAACTGGTTCAGGTCATGATGGGAAGGGGGCGGGGGTCAGACATGCCTCATTATACCCTCTTCCCTTTTGGAATTACTGATAGAACAGACTCTTTAAGTATGATAAAAAACATTTACAATCTATTCTCTCTGAAGCCTGCTACCTGGAGGCTTCACCTGCATGATAATAAACCTTGGTCTCCACAACCCTTTATCTTCCCCAAGACATTCCTAAGTTTTTAGATAATAACAATTCCTTCAAGCAAACTGTTAATCAGAAACTGGAAGCTTCCGCTTCCAGCTGTGCTGTCTTTCTGGACTGAACCAATGTACATCTTACATGTATTTGACTGTTGTCTCATGTCTCCCTAAAATGTATAAAACTAAGCCATATCCCAACCACCTTGGGTGCATGTTCTCAGGATCTCCTGAGGGCTGTGTCATGGTCCATGGTCACTCATATTTGGCTCAGAATAAATCTATTCAAATAGTTTGCAGAGTTTGACTCTTTTCATAGACAAGTCAAAGGTGTAAATGGTCAATGAACAAAGATGTCTTCAATTAGGAGGTTAGACTAGAGCAAAGTATGCAGGAGACCACGCAGGAAAACTCTGTGACTATGGTCTTGAACTGTGAGGAAGCAGCGGAGAGCTTCCTAGTGTAGAACATGGAATGCTCTAAAGGAGACACAAACTACAGCCAAGCTCTTATTAGCACCGTGATTCTGGACAAGTGACTTGTTAAGCTTCAGATTAGTTGCTATAAGACAAGGATAATACCCACATTTGGGGTGCTATCATGAAATTTTAATGAAATAATGCTGGACTCCATGTCAGACACTTTATAAAAATATTGGCTTCTTTCAGTGCTTCTAGATATTACTTTTAGATGTGATATTTAAAACAACATATGTTTCTGGAAAATTACTCAACATTACTAAATATCTTATTTATTTCACAGGTTTCTGTGAAAGAAAAACTGACAGAACTGGCCTAAAAAGCTTACTCTAGGGATTAGCACATATGTGTTCGATAAAAATTTTGCAGGTAGTATATAGTAGGGTAGTGAAGAAAATAAGTTCTGGAGTTAAACATTCCAGGTTCAAACATATTCAAACCAAAACTGTGTCTAGGAAGTCATCGGACTGTATACCTTTCCTCCATTACTTCTCCATTTGAGTGGGGAAAAGCTAAGAGCTGACCCAGACCAGACTTCTTTCATTTATCAAGTATTACCTTACTGTCTGCAATATGCACATACAGAGATTTAGAAACAGTCAGAAAAGTATAAAGGACATGGAGAATGGGATTTTTTTTTTTTTTTTGAAGATACTGCTGCCCAGGCTGGAGTGCAGTGGCATAATCATAGCTCACTGCAGCCTCCAACTGCTGGGCTCAAGGTCAGCCTCCCAAGTAGGTGGGACTACAGGCATGCACCACCATGTCTGGTTAATTTAAAATACAATGTTTTTGTAGAGATGGGGTCTCACTTTGTTGCCCAGGGTGGTCTTAAACTCCTGACTTCAAGTGATTCTCCCGCCTTGGCCTCCAAAAGGGTTGGAATTACGGGAGGGAGCCACCATGCCTGGCTGGGATTTTAAAAATTTCCTGCATTGTTTTTTTTTTTGTTGTTGTTGTTGTTGTTGTTGAGACGTAGTCTCGCTGTCACCCAGGCTGGAGTGCAGTGGCCAGATCTCAGCTCACTGCAAGCGCCACCTCCCGGGTTTACGCCATTCTCCTGTCTCGGCCTCCCAAGTAGCTGGGACTACAGGCGTCCGCCACCTTGCGCGGCTAGTATTTTGTATTTTTTTTTAGTAGAGACGGGGTTTCACTGTGTTAGCCAGGATGGTCTCAATCTCCTGACCTCGTGATCCGCCCGTCTCGGCCTCCCAAAGTGCTGGGATTACAGGCTTGAGCCACCGCACCCGGCACGTTTTACTTTTTCTTCGTATGTATCAAACCACAGAATTACTCATGCAAGAGCTGGGAATAAATGCAAAATGATCAGGGCAAAATGACATATTGGAAACAAGCACTGGGTGAAGATTTCAAGTTTTCTGACAGAAAAGAGAAAATACACTCTTGTCTTGGCTATTCCTGTCTGCAATAATTTCTTTCTTCTCTGAAATATACTTAGTTAATAGCATGAACTTCAGGGTCTAAATGACACAGACTGTAGGGCTCTCTAATTGTGTTAAATGTGTAGGTCTTACCTTTCTAACAGATATGTGTCTCAGGGAAAAGCATGGTTATGAGGTTTGGAGTCGTTCGGCTGCTGATGGGCGTGGGGTTCCTAATCATACGGACCGAGGGCAACAGCAGGTGCTCAAGAAGCATATTTTCGAT